GTGTGTGTGTGTGTGTGTGTGTGTGTGTGTGTGTGTGTGTGGGACAGGAATGTGTCCGCATTCACAGGAAAAAACAACACAGCCTGCAGCTTTTTGATCCTTCTGAGAACAAAGATGGAGGAGGGAAGGATGTTTGATAAGCTTTTAATGGAGGAAAAACTACTTAACTGTAAACTAGGATGATTTTGTGGATTCTCTGCTGACAATCCTGCCAGAAGACAATCTGTTTTTGTTTGTTTTGTTGTTGTTTTTTTTAACTGTTGCTGTGCCAAAGGTAAACTATCAGCTTCTCACAACACTTCCTAGTTGGAAAACCAAGAAGCCACTGCCACCGACGATCAGCTCGCCACTGTTTCCTGTAAAGCACATCATTAACCCTCGACTCCCCTCAGGAGGAGCTGGTGGAAGCGTAGCAGCACCTCCTCTCTGTGGCTGCTGGGAGCTACTGCAGGCTGCCTGTGGAGCTGCAGCCCCACTGCCTCACCTTTCCATCAGAGGTGGAGAGCTCACTGTCCAGTTACGAATCAGGGGGCTGCGATGTGATAACAAAACAATGATGGACACATCTGGATGATCAGGTTTGTGATGAAACACCAAGTGGCAGCTGGTAATTTTAGGTGATCCAAAACACTGTGAGGCACAGAAAATTAAATTACTCAAACATCTTATTGTTAATATGGTTTAATATAGTTTCAAGCACAATAACGTGTAAAATACCAAAAGAAAATCACTATTAATAACAGGCAACCAACAATAGACCATTTTGTAGTTACAAATGCACAAAGCGGCCAGGTCACAGGTTATTCGGGATAAACACTGAGGTTGTTGCAGTGTTAAATATTGCAAAAATGACAGCATTAATTGACTCTCAGCCAAGGCCACATGATCAGTACCAGGGGTCAGGTTTATAAAGCTTGCGTACGCACAAAACGAGCCCAGAAACTTGCGTACGCAATTTTTCACGCAAAGGTTGTGATTTATAAAATCCAAACTTGACGTGAAAATGTGCGGTGCCTCACGCCAGCTCTGACCCATGTTTACGCTCATTTTGGAGACGGGAAACTGCGACACAGATGGTGAAGTGAAGAATTAGAGCCACACTGTGTAATGATCACTGTCCGATATTTAATTTACCTTCATCAGACTTAGATTTTTATTCAACTTTATCATCAGTTTTCTTAACAGTAATATTTATGCTTCTGCTGCTGAGCCATGAGGACCTTTGAAAAAAAAAAAACTTAAATCTTAAATAAAAGTTCCCACGCGCAACTCCCTTCATCTCCTTCCTCCTCACGACCCTGACCCACAGACCCCTCCCTGACCCACAGACCCCTCCCTGACCCACAGACCCCTCCCTGACAAGAGACATTTCAACAGTACGACAGCAAAAGTCCCGCTTTGGGTATCATGCAGGGCGCGCCCCTCGCCAGTGTGGATGTTATGAAACTTCACTTTTTAAAGTCCGTATTTCTCACGCACACGCGCGGCTGTGGAGATGTGAGGGGGTGAGGAGACGATCAGCTGCAGAAAACAGAGCAGGCAGGAGGGGGGAGAGGACGGGGGAGAAGAGCGGTGAACTTATTTCTAAATTTATCTGACTTTTTAAATTTTATTTATTGTTTTATCATCCTGCAGGCTCTGAGAGAAAATTAATTTGAAACTGAGTTTTTGATTAAAAAATCATTAGATTGCTCTAAACGTCAGTAAACCTGCAAAATGAAGGAAAATCTGTGTCAATTACAGACAATCTGTTCACGTGAGCAGCTGTCAGCACCTGTCATCTTCCAGACGCACGACGGAGCGTGTCTGAACCAATCACTGATCAGCTGACTGATTTAAATACATCTTAACATTCATGAGGTACTTTACATTGACTGTTTATGGTTGAATGTGGGCGTGTAGAGGGCAGAACCTGAGGTGGGACCTTGGCACAAACTCTGACGTGCGGCTGTGATTTATAAATGAAAGGTGCGCAGAAACATGCGTACGTACGGTTTTATAAATCTTAAACTTTTTTGGCGTACGCCATTTTCACCTTTTGGCCTTACGTTCACTTTTAGTATGGTTTCCACGCAATCCTTTATAAATCTGACCCCTGGACTTCACTTTGTCTGCAGAATGCATGGAGGGTCAGGCTGTGAGAGAAGCAGAATTCAGCTGGTGTGCTCACTGAATGTGTTCATTTCTGACTGAAATACATTATTTTATGCCTCCATTTATCAATTTGATACACACTGGATTCATGCTAATGTTTAAAGACAAATGAAGAAAAAAAGTATTAAAAAAACTTCACGAGTCTGCTCTAAACTGTTTAGTGTTAAACTTCCTTTTAAGATCACAAAAGTGATTTTTCAGCTATAAATCTGCTTTTTGAGCTTGTTTTGTCTTGTTTTTGTTAGATACTAACTACATGGGCAGAAGTCTCAGCTAACTGCTGGATCATTAGTAAAGTAGGCAGTGCATACAAATAGGACCTAAAATAATAAAATATTTTGAATATCTCGTGGCGCTCAGTTCATTCAAAAGAAACTTACATTTCATTGCATAGATTCAGTAAAGCTAAATCCTGTTAAAAATAAAGTTTCAAAATTATATTTTTACAAAGAAAAACCTCAGATCGCACTGCCTTATTATAGACCCCTTGCTCATAAAAAGCCTATAGTGTGTTGACTCCAACATAAGAAAAGTCAGATAAACGGAAAAAAAAGTTTCATCCATCAAAAATAATAGCAATGTAGGTTTGTTTATACCGAGTAACTTCTGACTCCTTTATAATTAAATAAATATAAAAAAATATAAAAAAAATACACAGCCGTGCGCAAAAAAATTACAAAATGGTCTATTAGCACAGATGGTAACTTAACATTGAAAACGCCATAAAAAGCTAACACAATTAGCCTCGTGTTTATCACTGTATTTAATCGTTACGTCATGTTATGATGACTTCATCTGTTATTCATATAATCTTCAAGGTTCAGAGAAGAAAAGATGATCAATGATGTGAAAACACAGCTTTACTGCAACAAGCGGCGGCCATCTTGAATCAAGCTCCAAAAGCTAATCAGTTGTATTTATACACCCAGTGTTTACTCTGTGCAGGGTTCATTTAAATCCTTTCAGTAGCGGGTGAAAGTAACCAGATGCAAGAAGAAAAGCCTAGAATTTAGTAACAGGCACACTTTTTTTACACAAAATGCTCTGTATTATTGCCAAACACCACAGAAAAAAGCTTAAAAATGGAAAGAAGTGCCTATTTTACCAATCTTATGTGATCGTGTTTCTTTAGATGAAAGTTCTTTCATCATGACTTAGTTTGTGTACAGCAAGGAAATGTTAATAACTTTTTGTTCATCTGCTTATAAATCAGATTTTCTCAAACAAAGAAAAAAAAAAACCTCCTTTGATAGTTTTGGTATAATACTGAAAAAAACATGGTATTCTGTCTCCATCTGCATAATTATGAACTTGTTATATTTTTTTTTCTTAAAACATGCTTTAGTATTTTGGTATTTGTTTGATATTTCAGTGTAGAACCAACAACAAAAGTTTTATACTTTGTACTTTAAGATAAAAAAAATTAATTTGACCCTTTCAAACTTTAAAAAAAGAACTAAAGTTTCCATTCAGGAAAAATTCTTGATGATCAAATGTGTTTGTGGTAAATTTACTTCTTAAAAATATATATATTTTTCAACCATGTCTTTGACGATTGAGGTATAAATTTGGAATTTGAAACTGAGAAAGAAGCCAAACAGTAGGATGATTTAGTGATCCCATCGTCCTCTCTGCTGCACTCACAGCGACCAGCGCCTGTGTGTGTGTGTGTGCTTAGTCTGAGAGTGTGTTCTGTCACTACGTAATAGAGGAGTGTGTGCTTTTTAAGCCTCGGTTGTGTAGCTGTCAGTGATGAGCCGTCCGCATGTTGGGATTCTGCTTCAGGATTAGAGTGTGTGTGTGTTTGAGCATGCACGTTTGTAACTCTTAATAAGGAAAGGAACAAGTCGTGACCTCCCGTTAACTGGTGTTTTACACACACCTACTGTAAACAGAAACATGTCAACATGTTTGTATTCAGAGGGACAAAGGGAAACAATGTCCACCTTAAACTCCAAATGTTGCTTTCCATCCTTTGTAAATCTGTCTTACTTTGTATAAAACTGTAATAATAAGCCATGCTAATAAGTTGGATTCTTTTTTGTGTCAAGGTTTTTTTTTTATTGCTGGGCCACTGTGTGGCCTGAGAGGGGTGGGTGACATAGTAAATTATGTTAGATGTGTTTTTTGTTGGTGTGTTAGATTTGTGGTGGTTTATGAAAAGATGTGGATAAAATCCAACCAGACAATCATGGGAGGTGGATCTCATACTGAGATGTTTGGTACGGAAGCAAATCAGTGTCACAATTTTTTTCCTCAAATTCCAACTTTTTTTCAGTTAAGAAGCTGTATTTTATTTTGTCTGTAAAGTTTTGTTCACCATTAATCAGTGTTATTTATTGCTGTCAAAATTTTATTTTATTTTTTTGTTTATTTCAAAGCCCTCATATTGGATTGGCCTATTTCAACGTTTGAAATTTCCTGTCTAGAAATTAATTTTCAGTGAACACAAGGAACAAACAGAATCCATCCTGCTCCTTAGTTTAATCAAATCAGTTATTCATCAAAAATACAGACTTTTAATTATTTTTCATTCAAATAAAAAAATGAACAATTTTATTTCATTGAAAAAAAAACTTTTGTTTTTGCCACAATAGGTTAATAAAAACTGAATTTGAAGGCAAAAAACATCCAAATACAGAACATCAATATATTCTCTGTATCTTATTTTTTGGTGTTTTAATTTCAGTGTGTTTTTAAAATCCGAACTCTCCTGACACAGATCTGCTTCCGTACATTTGAGGCTGATTTTTCACAGCTGTAACCACATCCACACACATTCAGATGTTTGGAGCAAAGACTGAACTGCTGAACGCAGAGGGTCGCCTCTGTTTCTAACCTTTTGAGCTCTATGCAAAGTGTCCCTGGGTTCTCACGGGACACGCCACTAACTGAGAGACGCCACGCAAGACTTAACCACCATGGCCTCACAGGGAGTGACAGAGAAAAGACTTTTATTTTGAATTACTTCCTGTGAGGCGAGGACGACGAGCACTGCATTTGTTTTGTTGACATAGTTTTTATTCTTTTTTCTCTTGTATTATTTGCTGCCTTTGTCTGAAGTTTAAATAAAGCTGCTTTGAAACAATGAAACTTTTGTGGTTGTCCTTCATGATTAAATGTAACGGGGATGGGGTTCAGGGTCCTGTGGTGTTCCTGCATGAGGACATACTATAGATCAGTTAAACCTGATAAAATCATCCTGAGGATCAGAGTGGAGTTTTGTGGCTGTCGTCATCCTGCCATAAATTTATTCATTGATTTTATATATTGAGCCTGTGGTTACGTAAAAGATTGAATTTGATTTTTCAACATGTACATATATTTATATATGTATGTATAAAGGTGTGTGTGTGTGTGTGTGTGTGTGTGTGTGTGTGTGTGTGT